TCCGAAGGCCCGCTCGCGTCTGCTGCTCTGGCATGTGATCGGCAGGCCCTGTTTGTGCCCTGAGCATGCGCTTGACCTGGCCACGGCTAGACAGGAGTGGCTCCGCTGCTCCACTCCGGGAGCCTTTCGGCTTGTTGACGACACCATCACGCCGAGATGGCAGGAGCTCCAGCGCAAGTGGGGGTGGTCGGTCACGCAGACTGGTGAGTGGCGGACGCCTCTCGGGTTGCTGCGCCCGGGCTGGGACGGCTTGAAAGTTCTCAGGCGCGTCGCTGACTACGCTTTCTTGCAGCAAACTTGGGCTGTCGATCCCAAGTGCATGCATCATGACCTGGCGCTCTCGATGCCTGTTTTTGCGCCTGCCAGACGCAGTGTGACCACTGGCAGCTCGGCTCACTTCCGCACCGCCACCGCCTGCGCGGCGGACGCCAGAGTCTTAGCACGGCTCCAGACGCCGCCCCCGGACCAGGAGCTCCAATGCTCTTGTGGTGAGCCCAGGCCGACACGTCATCATCTCACGTTTGAGTGTCCTGACAGACGGTGGCTGCCTGAGCAAGCAACGGACTGTGAGCGCTCCTTGCTGCTCCGAATCGTGCCGCTCCCGCTTCCTGCGAGCATTCCTCGCGCCCTGCCGGAGGCCCAGCTCGACGATGAGGTCTTGCAGGAGATGAGGCAGGCGGCTGTTGCTGGCCCGGTGCTCTGTGCCTCGGACGGGGGTGCGCTCACGTGTGCTGGCATGGAATCCTGGCAGCGTGCCTCTTGGGCTTTGACTTTTGGCACCGCTGGCAGCCACACAGTCTTCGGAGGTTTGGTCGCTGGTCTGGACCAGACGCCCGCTGCTGCTGAGCGTGCTGGTTTGTGGCATTGCTTGAGGCAGGCGCACCGCGCTGAGGCACCGCTTCGGCTGTACTTGGACAATTTCGCTCTTGTGCTTGTGGGGCGGCTCAAATCCTGGCTATTGGCATGCCGTCGCCCTCCTGGTCCGCCCTGACTTGAAAGTCTTCTGGGTGCCATCGCATGGCAAGCGCCGTGACTGGCAGGCGGAGGAGCCCTCCCAGACTGAACTGGTGAGGACGCTGAATGCCTTGGCGGACACCCGTTGCTCCAGTGCTCTCTTGCCGCTTCGGGCTGAGTGGGAGGCCGCTGCCGCCAGGCTGGAGAACGCCACAGCTTGGACCGTGAGAGCTCTCGCGCGGCAGCATGAAGCCTGTGATCACTACCATGACCTTTTGCGACGCTGCGTCAAGGAATGGAAGCTTCGACAAGGAGTGGGCTAACCTGGCCCTGCTTCTGCCTGGTCCCAACTTCTGGTTCTCTTAGGGTTTCTTTGGGTTTAGGCCCTCTCGCCTGGTCCCTCCTCTTGGGTTTAGGCCCCTGCCTGGTTACCTTGCTGCTGCAGACCCCCACCTGAAACGAGCATCATGTGCATCAGCCGGGTTTGTGGCCAATGTTATGGGCTTGGGCACCACGCCAAAACAATAGGTTCACGGACATGCGGTTGTGAACCTATCCATCTGCCATGGCCGGCACTCCCGGTCTACTTCAGATCCAAGGACCTTTAAGGCTGTGCGCGGGACTTTCCTGCTGCACTCCCCTGAGGATGCTGTCAGTTTCCGGATGGCTCTTACCACATTGGGCGGACGCGCTGCGACATCAGGGCGGCTGCGCTGCGACCTTTCTTCTTGAATCCGCACATCTTGGTCCAGCTGGGGCGCCTCGACGCCTGGCTCTTGATGCAACTTTTCTGTTGGCTGTCTTGTTTGCTGTCTGAAGTTGTGAAGCACCAATCTGTTAAACACACTGCCGGCCACATTCTTCACGGCAGCTTCTTCCCTGGCGCGGACGGCAGCACTGGACGACGTCTTCCGGACGCTGGTGTGCTATTGCTCCGCGGGGCCTGAGGGCGTCTAAACTACCAACCTTCGGGTACGGAGCAGGTTGACGTTGACAAGAAGTTCAAGTTCAAGAAGCTGGCTTTCTAGGGGTTGGTGTAGAGCCGAACTTTGGCTTTGGCTCTTGTCGAATCGACTTGACACCAGCGTTGTGGTGATTCACTCTGCGTTGGAGGCCGAGTTTATGTTCCAGTACGAGTGGCAGCACAACAATATTGCAGGAGGTGATTTCACAGTACCTGAAGACAGAGCCACTGTCTGTGAGTTGGGGGAGACCGCAACGGCTAACAAGCTGAAACATTTGCAATGCGAAGGTCCAGTCGATGCTTATCGATATTTCCTCGCCCAGAAACCGCAGCTTTTGGGCCTTGGGGGCAGGCAGTACGGCCAGGAGGAATTCCTAACGGCCTTTCAATTTGGAAGCCTGGCACAGGCTGCCATATCCAGCAACGGTATGACTGGCCTTCTTTGCGCGGTGTATTCTGGAAACCTTGATCTCTTGCAGCTTTTGGTGGAAAAGATTGCAGATGTGAATCAGCGCGTTCTCGGTCTGGGGGAGTTTGGGCTCTATGACACTATGACTCCATTGATCGTAGCGGCCCGATCCAATCAGCACCCCAAGGTGCTCTCAACACTCATTCAGCTGAAGGCAGATGTGGACGCGCAAGTGCAGCAGTCACTTTACTGTATAGGTTAGTAAGGAAGGAAGGAAGGAAGAGTACTTGTACTGATCATAAGAACAGCAAGAACCTTCAGTCCCTAGGAAAAGCGATCCAGAGTATATACCATATACTGTAGAATACTGTAGAACAACTTATTTTTTTCAGGTCAGGAGTCAGTGCGGCTGGCCTGGTACGCTCCCCGGGGCAAGTGCAGATCTTGCTGGATGCCAGGGCCGATGTTCATTCATGCAGTGATCCTTTGGGTTTCTCAGAGATTTTTCTCATATGCATAATCACTCCTTAAAGGAAGGAGGTTGAGGACTAGGGAGCGATGGGCATGCATGTTTTTCATACCCAATGAGCAGTAGCTTGGAAGGTTGAAAAATTGTAGCACAGCTGAGGCTTTACTCCTTTGACCAGCATTGCAGGCTTTGCCAGTGAAGACACCGTGAAGGCGATGTTGTTGGGTCGTTGTGATGTGAATCCACTACCACAGGGAGTGGGCCTTGGGCCTTTGCATGCAATCGCATTGTTTGCGCGCGGGAAGAAGGACAGGTCGCATGATCGGTGAGGGACAGGTGCATAGATCGGTGAGGGACTGCTTAGCACCTACCCCAGCTTGATGATAAAAATTGATATCAAAGCGAGAATTTTGAGGTTTATTTTGCTGCGTTTTTAATGAACATGATAACTTTCATAGCTAGCCGAACATGGTCATGAATAATAGCGGGAACGTTCCCCCATGGGTCGAAATTAACCAATGTATACCAATGTCCAGCGGCGGACCCCTGAAGCCAGTTGAGTCTTCCACCTGAAACTGTGGGACCCCAAGATCATCCAAGATCATGAGTTGTTTCAGGGCTGGGGAACTGGCTCCGACCTCATGTAGACGGGGATGTACTGATGTGTTCGGAGAAGATTGCTGTGACTTACTTCTGTGGGTCGACGTTGCTAAAGACCCTCTCCCTGAAGGATGCACTTTCCAAAGTGAAGCTGCTCTATGCTGCTAGAGCCGATCTGGATGCCCGTGCTGAGCCCTCGGGGTTGTATCGCCTGCTATGTCAAACGGCGCAGATGCGAAGCAATCTATGGGGGTTGGAATCCTGCAAGGCCACGACCCGGTATCTGGCCACCCGGTCCGGAGATCAGGGCAGGTGGTGTTGAAGAGTTGTGCTTTTTTTGAAAACTTGTGGCGGAAGAAACATGGACCTGACTTCATGTATATCGGCAAACTAGTGAGCGCTGGCAAGTACAGGACCAAAGTCTACACCTAAAACTCCTAAAGCTCATGTCTCAGCCAGCAGTTGTCAAATAGCCAATCACTCCAAACACACATCCGAGGCGAGCTTGCCTGGCATCACTCCTTTGGGTGTGGCTGCGTTGGTGGGGCACGAAAGCTTGGTGGAACTCCTACTGGAACTTGGAGCCGAACTCTTCGCGAACGATCGCGGAGATTTACCATTCGAGTTGGCGAGTGCCAACCACCACAGGCGCGTAGCGAGGAGCCTTTCCTTGGAAAGTGTTTGAGGCAGGCGCGGCAAAGCGGCTTGGCCTTCCGGAAGGGTCGCAGCAATCCAAGCACGGGAACCGCTGGAATTGTTTTAACTTTTAACATTTTAACTCTCCCATGCCAAGTTGTAGACCAAAGGTCAGATGTGAGAGCAGGGTCCTGGCCTGGCCCAGAACGTGTACTGGGGATGCAGCAAACTTCCAGGGGCTGTCCCTGGTCCTCTGTTATTGATAGACCAAAATGTTTACGCAGAGTCATGTGCGGTGCTTCGGCTTGTGACAGATTTTTTTCTCTCCTCCAAGACTCCGCTGGTCATCGCACAACTCTTGCAGTATGAAATCCGTTTTGCGGGCTTAGAGACTGGAATCCATGCAGTTTGCTGAAACTGTCATGCGGCTCGCTGAAGCCTTCTGATGGGAAAGATTGCATGCAAACGATTGACTGTCTTGGTTTCATCGCGGCCGGTGACAACCTATTAACTAGTTTTCCATGTTTCACACGACCCAAAGCTTTCAACAACTCATATAGCAAGTGAATTTTTTTGATCATTGCAGCGGCGGCATGAGTAAAAGGACACTTCCGACTCAACCATGTGCAGGGTAACGACGTGTTGTTTTAGCAATGCAAAGAAACACCGCATGGAAAACATTTCGTTTGGGATCTCGATTCGCAAGCTAGGGCAGCTAGGGCCTAAGCTTGGGACAAGAACTTTGTCGGAACAAGGGTTCGAACTAAGCAGACTAAGGCCTTGGGGACTTTTCATCAGCATCAAATACCAAAGAGTCAGAAGCATCGCTGCATTTTGCTGGAGTTAGAGCTAACTCCAGGCTGATGAGGTGCGTAGGATACTGTAGCCTAGGTCGTCCTGGCAGCTGCTTTCAGCAGAAACTCTGTTCTTAAGCTGCACCTGGAAAGCGAGAAATTGCGACCGCGCAGGTCAAGGACATAGTAGAGACCTTGACGGATTTCTGCTTCGCACGCGAGAAGCGGCCAGAGGAGACCTACCTTTGGATCTGCTGTCAGGGCCTCAAAGGCCTTCCCTTGGGGGAAGCTTTCCAATAAGTTATCGCTCCGGGTTTGGGGACCTAGACTAAAGGTTTCCATCAAGTGTTGATGCGATGGAATTCGTGATGTCGACAGGATGGCCAAGTGAGGTTTCCTATGGTCCGCCCAACTTGAGCGATGCCTGATGCTTGATCGACTGCGCATTGCCAGTCTTAGTCTTCCATTCGTAGCCTCAACAGAATTGCTGCCGCTGCCATCCCCACATCTGCCACATTTCAGACTGCATGCTCACATGCACTCGAGCACGTGCAGAAGACATGCTCGTACCCAGGCCTGTGCATCAATCAACATCGCGTCAAAGAGGCCCAGGCGCATGAGTGCCAGTCGCATAACTCTGCCACTTGGGGGCCGTCACCTGTGCTGTGCACCCGCCGTGAGTTGGTGTAGTCATCTCCTGGGCAGCTGTGAGCTTGCATTGACCGGTTGCTCCATCAGGCATCCGGCGATGTCGTGCCCTTTGAGGACTTCGAGAAGGCTTTTGGTCAGTGTTGCGCTCGGCATGTACAGTGCTCGCTATGCCTGTCAAGTATTTGTCCTTCTGCACGGCTTTGAACAAGAACATGTGCAGCTTCTTGTCCGAGGCGAGTGTCGGGCATCGGACACATCGTTGCTATGATGGCTCCCTGGCATGTGCCGGGACAGCACATCATAATTGACGAGAGTGCCTTTGCAGTTGTAGTAGCTTTTTAAGGTTTTTTTCCCGCTTTGATGGCACGAGGCCTACTAGCAGACTCCTCATGCTGACCTTTCCTTCGAACTGTTGGACAGTACAGCCTGTCTTCACCTAAAGCTTCAGGCTCTGCGTTGCTCCAGGTCTGCAGACTTTGCAGGGCACAAGTCCGGATGGGCGATGGCGCCGTTTGAAGCGACCAGTTTTCCCGGTTGGTACCTTCCTAACGGAACCCACTACGTTCCAGATCATTTCAGGGGTTTGCATGGTTTGGCACGCCAAGGAGCCCATGTACATTTCGCGCATATGGCTCCTCGGCAAAAGACTGGTGCAAAAGGTTCACGATTGTGCCCCGGTGCAGAGTCGCACAACGATGATCAGAATGATACGAATAAGAATGCGAATTCAAAATTCGCATTTCGCCAGAGTACATCAGAGTACGAATAGGAAAGTGATGAGTGATAATGATGTGAACGAACAATAGCACGAATACGAATGATGGCCATGAAGTTAATGCAAAGGCGAACGCACATGCTACTGATGGCAGTGATAGTGCGACACAATCACCAGTACTGAACACCGTGCGGTGTTACGAATGCAAAGTTGCACCAATACGGCTGCTGATTGTGATAGTTGTGGAATCCGTAACATGCATAATGTAGGAACCTGATGAAGCAACCCTAAACAAGGCCCAAGGTTTCTTAACCAGGTTCCTACATTAGTGGTGGTGACAGTGCAGTAAGTCACCGCGGCCTTTGCTCCCCAGGTGTGACTTCGTCCCTTCGGCTGCAGAATGGCTTTTGGGTTCTTGGGGGATGTTTGTAGTTTAGGTTCTGTAAAGGTATACTATTAAAAGGGTACGCTGAGGGTGGGTCATATAATTGTATTATCGTAAAGGGAGCTGTCATACAGGTACCTCAAGCGTCACGCTTGTTTGCCGAACCAGGCTCTGAAAGCCTTGCAGAGATCTACACTTCCAGTTCTTACCAGTCGTGAGCCGCAATTCAGCATCGTGGTTGGAGCACCTTGCATCTCAGGAGATGTTCACGGCGAAGCATGTGGCTGCATCGCAGGTGCCTGGAACACCCGTCGTGGGAACGGAATTTGCCAAGCTGCTTTCGTATTGAAAGCCATGGGTCATTTTGGGCTCCTGGTGATAAGGACATGCGCTGGGGTCTTCGGGGGCTTTCTTTCTCAGGTGACTATCGTGATGCCGCCGCGGGAGGCCGAGGATCTTCGCCAGGAGTTGGTCAGCGGCCAAGGCACCTGTTTTCAAGCGGGCTCGGGGTGGCGAGTCAGCGAACGCAAGCAGATACCTGCAATCGTATGCAGGCACAGATTGTTGATAGCTCTTGGATCCTGCGGCCATCGCAGGCGTCAAAGCTGTGTGGAACGTGCTTTCACGACTCGACGTGGAGACAGCCCAGGCCTCTGTAACCAGAGCCACTGCGACCGCAATTGATTTCTACGATTGTTCAGGTGATCACTTTGAAAGCATTTTTTGACGACTTCGTGCCTGTGTCTGTTAGCTCACCCTACCCAGGATCGGGAGCTCATTTTGCAGATGATTCAAGATGGCCCTGGAGCACATAAGCTCAACACGGTGGCAGTCTCAGTTCCCACCCAAAAAAACCTACCCTTTAATGGGTAAGATCAGGGCTTTGCATCATAGCCGGCTCTGTTGATCGGGGAGCTTGGATGCCGGGCCTTTGTACTGCGATTTCCAGACTTAACAACTTCTGTCACTGAGGTAATCGCGGAGCATTTGAAAGACTGGCGACTTTGATCCTATTGGACATAGACATTGCTGCAAGGGGATCCTATCCTGAATTCCTGCCTCGCAGTGGAATTCCAAATCCTCGCAGCGGACTTGGGTGTAGTTTCCCGCCGAAGTCCGCGGATCATTTGAGCCACTCAGGATTTTGGAAGCCTGCGAAGGACACCTGCTCCACGCACTTCGTGACGGTGCAGCATCGGTTGCCGTAGCGAATCTCTGTAGCGAGGCGCCGACGCGGTGGGAGATAGTCGACAGATGCTGCAGGAGTCCGCTAGATTCAGCCGAACTAGCTACTGGTAGCAGATCGGGACGTGCAACAGCATTCGTCATGGTGGCAAGAACACGTGACAACTGCTTCCAGTATGGTTGGACATGTAAAAAGGAAAGGCTATTGAGTCCAAACGAGGGAAGATAGTTGAAGGCATGTCCGCTGGATACTGGGGTGCGCTTTGATGAAATGCCATATGTTGACATTCCCTTCTTTCATGTTTCAGTCGATTTGAAGTAAAGGAATTCTGGAAAAAGGCAGGAAAGCATCTTGCCCCGAAGTGGCACCCGGTGGCACCCGTAGCTTCTAGTGCGAAGCACGGCTCGCCTACAGGTTGGGGGCCTCCTCTCAGACATGGGATATCTGGAGAGAGCACACTTCGTGATGGAGGAGGGGCTGAGGCTTGACGAACTGCTTTTGCATCGATGTTACACAGAACCCGTCGTCATCCGATTTGAGTGCACCTATTCTGTGACCTGCTGTGGTCCAATTCTGTTGGTACCCAGTATCTGCTTCGAACTGTTTCGACCCTTGTCCAATTCTGGGCTTCGGCAGATCTTGAAACGGGCTCATGGAAAGATGTAGTCTTGACAGTCGTCGCCGCGTCGTAGTCGTGGTCGAAGTAGTGCAGCAGCAGCAGGAGGAGGAGGAGGAGGAGGAGCAGGTACAACTGGTCGTCAGCATCGTTGCCCGCCGCAATCGTCTTGGCAATGTGGTAGGATGTTGTAGTTGTACGATTGCATCAGTCGTCATGGTCGTTTCATCGTCGCTGTTGTTGTCCCTTGCATGTCGGGGTCGTTGTCGTGTTGCAAGAGTGTGGCTGGTCTTGAGCATGTGTGCCAGGCTCCACGAAAGCGGCGGTACTTTGGGGTCCAGTGCTGGCGCGGACTTGCTGGCCAACCTGGGTGAGATTCATGAGAAGCAGGGAGCCTTGGTCGCAACTTTTCTCAGGGGAACCAGCGAGCTTCTGGAATCTACCCTGTGCGAAGGAGATCTTGATGGTGCTGCCGAATTCTATGAGTGACCCGACCGCATAAACGAAGTGCGGAGGTAGCCTTTGCTTGATATGGCTATCGTAGATACACCCTTCGAAGATGTGCATAGTTTTTGATTCCATGTGCCACGGATGTTTGCATGTTTGTGTGTGTGTGTGTGTGTCCCTCCATCCCTCCATCCCTCTCCCTGTCCCTGTCCCTGCATCCCTCCATCCCTCCCTCCATCCATCCGTCCATCCATTCATCTCCCTGTTTATCTCGTGCATTATACGTAAGATGATATATATATATATATATATATGCTGTACATAGATGCGTTCACGCGTAGATAAAATGCCCACCCACGCGCACACACTTATGTCTGGCTTCTGCCTGTTCGTGTGTCTGTCTGCCTGGCTGTCTGCAGTCATGTATTTGCCACTCGGGGAGAGTCGTTTCAATGTTTATGTGTGCGTATCGTGGCGGGTCATGAAGGCGGGCCTCGCTGTGCTTTGCGGCGACCTTGGCTCCAGTGCCCTTGGACTATGCAGCTCTGAAGCGACGCCAAGGACGCTCGGCTCAATGACTCTAGCCTTATTACCCCTTATAGTCCCTATGTAGCCCTTCTTGGCTGATATGACGGCATCCTCCAAGTCGTGTTGGGTTTAGATAAAGTAGGGTGCAGTCGCCATGAGGATGTCAGTGTCAAGGATCAACTGGTGGGAGCACCAGAGTGGGGAATGTGATCTGAACTTATTTTTGCCAAACACCCTTCTTTCAGATCACTACATAAGGTACTCCGAAGTTGAAAGAAACCCCCATTCGCCTCCTTGACATCTTCGCGGTCCTTCGTTTCAGCGCACCGTTGTTGGCTTTCATGCTGCTTGGCGTCTGAGGACGACTCCTTGGGGTGCGAGGCGGATCCGCAAGTTCTTGCCTTCAGATCTCAGTCTCTCCTTTCGGGTCGGTCCGGTGTGGGGGCTGCCCGGTTTTGCACCGCTTCCAGTTGTGTGGTCAGGTGACTTGGAGGGAAAGCTGAAGCTTTACGAGGAGGCCCAACGTGACTCTCCTCCGATGTGTACGTGTGTGTGTGTGTGTGTGTATCTGTGTGTGTCTCTCTCTCTCTCTCTCTCTCGCTCTCTCTCTCTCTCTCTCTCTCTCTCTCTCTCTCTCTCTCTCTCTCCTAAACTTCCTAAACAACACAAAATCGGGCTCCACGCCAGGCGCGGCGCATCTGCGAGTTGGCCAATGCACTGGAATCCACTGAAGGCACAGTGCCCTTCGGTTACCCAGCGCACTGTCCGTTTGGGGTACCTTAAACCCTAAACCCTATCCTGCACGAGCCAGTCTCAGCAATACGTGAGTTCGGGAGGCTAAGCCAGATATGGAGGCAATGGTCAGGTGGTGAATCCCTTTTAATGGCCTCCCGAACCCACCCCTCAGCCAGATTTGGCATTCCAGCATTGATGTCCATAGCCCATAGCTGCGTGCTAACCTTTGGGCAGAAGGAAAAGAGGGTGTAAACAAATACCCTACCCTGCAATGCGGGCCTCGTCCTTGTTAGGTAGGGGGACAAGACCACTTCTTGTGTCGGCGGAGGGTTTTTCTGCACAGGGACCGTGCTCCTCTCCTCCATCGGCGCCGCGAAGCGGCAGGCTGGTGAGAAGCGACAAGGGCGTTGGCCCTTACACACGCTTAGGAGCCCTGCTCGTCGTATGATAGCATGTTCTCATGCAACTCATGCTTATGCTTCACTTGCAAGATCCTATAAAGACATTAACCATTATACCAGAATCAAAGCGCAGAGGCAGGCGACATGGAGGGCGCCGTGCAAGCCTACGAGGAAGCACTCGGCATCCATGAGCCGCCTGGCGCAACTTCAGCTCGCGACTTCTTCGCCCGCTTCTGGAAAGTTCTTTGAGACGAGGCGGCTAGAAACACTGGAGTCGCCGGAGGGCGCCACGCCTCCCGGCCATGTTCGGTCTTTATCTCGGTCTGAGGTTTGGCTGACATACAAGCAGCTCAAGGGATTTTAAGCAGGAAAGGCTCTGCCTCTGCAGTCCGAAGTGAGGAAGAAGTAGCTTTGAAGCTTTGGTGTGTTGAGGATTCCTGCGACGCTTTAGGGGAGATTCACATTTTGAGAAGCCTGAGTGGACATGTAAGGCTGCTCTCGAACATCGGTGTGGCGCGGCTGCGGCAGAGGAAGAAGAAAGCCGCGAAGCAGGCCCATGGTGGGCAGGAGTTTTCTTCCCCTGTGCCCTGTGCTGGCCGCTGTTTTCAGGCTTTCGAGCGAGCGATGGCCATTCGAGAAGCCCGGCTCAATGGGGCCGAGAGGGCAGGGGGGTCGCGGGGTGTTGCTTATCAGCGAGGCAGGCTTATATGCTTTTGCAGTTGGCAACTTCGTAAAGGGCACAGAGGCAGAACGACAGTCTATTTGTGGGTTCCCCCACGACTTGTTCAGACAGGAAAAGACTGGGACCTTGGAAACGTCGGCCGGAGCCACGCTGCTCACGAACATTGCGGATGTCCAGGTCCAGAACAGGGTCCATTCGGCTTAGTCCCCCTTGGTGAGAGCACGGGGAGCGGACAGCAAACGCCGGCCAGGAGCTCTTCGGAGACGCCGAGGGTGAGCTCAGGCCTTTCTCCAACGGCCGAAAGGTTTGGCGCTTTCGACAACGCCGCTGTGACACGGGAGGCTCTACCTGCAGGCCAAGGACATTCGTGAGAAGATGCTCGGCATAAGAAACGCGATCTTCGAGTCAGAATGTGAATGAGCTCGATGTCAATTTGCTGTCCGAGGACGGGCACCTTGGACTCCTCGGCCGGAGCGGTGGTCCTGTGGGCTGCCGAGTGCCGCAGTGCCGGTACTGACTTCGTCTTGCCATGGGCGAACGCAGTGCAGTCAGTGCAGGTCGCACATCGGGAGCATCTATGCGAAGCGAGGATCGGAGCAGATCAGCTGCCTAGTCTGACGTCCTAGCGTAAGCCCTGGTGTCGTGATGGTGGTGCCGGGACGAATCACCCGATTTTTCTGTCAGGAGATCGCAAAGAAGCTCTCTCGTGGTATGCTCGGGCGCGGGATGCTCGAGAGAAGTCCGAGACATTGGCTGCCCGGCAGCCGAGGTTCTAAGCTGACTGATGCAGAAACTACGTTGAGGGAATCCTTGCAAGGAAACCGATGCGGGTGCCAAGTTGTTGGCGAAAACGGCGGAGTTGCTGAGCCAGGAGGCGCAATGAAGTGGTCCTGAGAACAAAGCCAAGGGTTGGGAGGGGCGAGCGCGGCAATGGCGTGCGAGAGGATTGGAACCACGCGAGTTCGCTGTCCAACGTGTCATTCCTTGCTCACCCCCTTCCTCTGGTAAGACCCTACGGCCCTACGGTCTACGGTTGCAGAGTGAAGCCTCCTGGCCAGGACCGGCCCGCGGCGGTGGCCCTCTTGGAAGAGGCTTGGTCAATCCGAAAGCGCTCCGAGAGCCCTGGCTTAGACTTATTGTTCTTTTTTTGCTTCTTCGAAAAATTAATAAGAAAAGTCAACGGCTACCAGTCCCGTCATGTCTGTAGGACAGTCATTGCCACGCTGCTGGTGATGCTACTGTTTGTTATTGCTTCTTGTACGAGAAGTACGATAAGTATTCCGATTGATTCTGAGGATGAGTGGCCATTTTTCATGCGACTACACTTCTGGGACCAGGTTCCTAGGGAGGGCAGCAGCTCTCGCTTGTCGGCTTACGAAACGGCTGTCCCGCCTGGGAGTTGCACCCCTCAACAGTAGACCTTAAAGTATCAGGAACAAGAAGGGTATCCCTTGATTTTCCGAAACTTCCACCCGCTGTCTAGTTTGCGCTGCTGAGGACCTTGCACTCCGAATCAGGTTGCTTGGCAAAGATCAGGTGTCTCGATTTGGGGTTCTATAGGGTCTTGACCGGGGAGCACAGAAGAACTCGACAGCTCGCCGGGAAGTCGCGGCCAAACTCGTGACCCAAGTCCTCGCAATGCGCCAAGCTCTGAGCGTACCGCGACACTTGTGGCGGGCGTTCGTCCCAGATTTCCGAGGTGTGAAGCTCCTGTCCTCCCTTTGCAGCCTTCGTGGGGATTTGGGAGAGTACGAAGCAGCGGAGGAGGCTACGACACCGTCCGCAGTTTGAAAGAGTCTATGCGGTTACCTGTATGCCTCCACCTGAAGGCTTGGGAGGCAGCAAGAGAACTTGTGGAAGCCATGGGCGACAGCTCGACGATGCCCGAAGTAAGGCCCGGCCCGAGGTCCGAAAGTCCGAAAGCACCCAAGCTGTCCTGGTCTTAGCGCCGAAGTCTCCTTCACAGGATCTTACATGAAGCAAGCGAAGCAAGTGCGTCCCCAAAGACATGCACACCGCAGCCAAATGATGCCCAAGCGAGAGGGCTTAGGGTGCTGAGCGGACACTGACACCAAACTTCACGCTGCTCTGCTCCACTGGCCGGTTCTTCTTTGGATTGTGAACAGGCACAGTAATGCTGAGTGTTGAGGGATGCTTTCGCTATGTCCACATGCACATGTAAAGTTTTGCCACGAGATGCATGCATCTTGCGTATCAACACCGCAAGTTTCGCTATTATGGCTCCTGCTTGTCTTTGAGTCTTGCTTGCATTGCCACTGGCCACAGCATTTGCCGCAGAAGTTGACGTTCGTTGTACGTATAGCTCATATTCATCTCAGCTGTCGAAGGCACTGTTGATGCTCTGGAAATGGCATGTCTATGTAGCAGTGCGACTTTTGGCACGGTAGGTAGTACGTCCTTACAGCCAGCTGTTTGCTGCGGCATTTCGCTTTTTCGGGATCTGGAGCTTGTTTCAAATTCGGCTGAAGGCCTTGCTCCGGCGAAGTGAGTTCTGGAACCCCCCCGCAAACTGCTCCATTTCCGTCGTCTTGAGATTTGCAGTAAGTCCTCCACTTTTCCATGGAAGATTATTAGGCCCATCTTCAAGTGCCAAGCGGTTCCCGAGGCCAGCTTTTATGTCAGCCTTGCTGAAGCCCTCCGGGGCTGTGTCCGACACGATGTCCCAGCAACTAGGGCAGAGGCGGCTTGCGAAGCGATCAGCAACATGGAACTCCCCCAACGGCCTTTCAACGGTCGTCTTTAGCACCTGGAGCTCGGAGCCGAGATGCCGTACTCAACACTTGTGCATATATCGCTCGTGCTTAGATGGATAAAGATGGTTGCATGGAGATGCAGACATGTGTGCATGCCCGTACACACACATACCTTTTCTTTCTGAGATTGTACGCGCATAGTACATACATGCACACATAGCAGCTCCGATTGCGCGCTGATGTCACGTGATGGAAGCGAAGATACGGTTGCTTTCATAATTCGTGAACCACGGAATGTACTGTAATGCATCGCAGTTCGGCAGAGATACTAGTAATGCCTGGTGGAAGTGCAATCAATACCAGATCCCCAGGATCACTCGCCTCTCGCCTGTACAGGACTGACGCTCCACTGGGCCGTCTCTGTAATTCAGACCCGGTCCGCTGGTTCAGCGTTTGGGGCACCTGGGCCCAACAGATGAGGATGGGTTAGGAGGTCTGGCGCTTGAGAATGACTTGGCAGCCAGGGACTGGGGAAGCGGTAGTCTGCGAACTTTCGCCGTGGGCACACTGCAAGGAAGCGAAGTGGTTCCTCGCGTGTCCGTGGCCGGAGGAGTCATTGGCTTAATCTTGGTGCACCTTGGCAAAAAAGACTTCAGAAGCCCCCGCTTGCACAGCGCGGGTCCCTTCAGGATGAAACCGAGTGAAACCTGCATCCGAGCAATTTTTGTCGCCCAGGAACTCTACGATGCCACAGGTGGTGAAGACCTCGGATGGACTGACCTTTGGCCAAAGGAAGCGAGAGATTGCTCTTACATCAGTGGACTCATGCTGATACGCAGCATCGTGAAGTTGCAAACTGCCTGACGCCATATCATGTCACAGTAGACTATGTCTCCCTCCATCACGAGGCCTGTATCTTGGTTCGTTCAAGCCTGGCAGCTCTGAGCATGACACCCTGACACGTCCCCGACCTTGGGTTCCGGCCCCGTCCAAGGATGCCGCAGATCTCCCGCGCGATGTGGGTCAGCGAGGGTCTTAGAACAAAACCTTTCGTGCTTTCACGATCATCGGATGCCTTCGGCGTATGTGTAAGCAGCCATCACGCTCACCGAGGAATGTGCCTCCGCATCACGCCACTGGCAGGCGGGCTCAAAGCCGCACAGTACGCTGTGATGCGAGAGAGGCTTGTCTTGACATCAAACTCGTGATGGCCTGAAACCGCCAGTGGAGAGATGTGAAGTTACCAATGTAGTGTAGTAGGATGCAGGCACCCATCTCCCGAAGCATTTTGCAGGGTAGTGCTGCGGCCCAGCTCAGTTGCATTCAGCTGCGCACGCCGCGCACCTGCATCATGGCTAAGGATGAAGCTCACCTTGGACCAGGCCTTCAGCAGATTGATTTCGAGCTTTCATGTTTCAGGGTTTCATATCGTCTTTTCTTGCAACTTGCCTTCTCAGGGCTTGCGGTGCTCAATCCGGCCGGTGGCTTTCGGCAAGCATGCCTGCCAGGTTTGTCATCCCGCCGTGTCAACAATGCTGGCATTTGGCGTGATTGGCACTGGACGCTCGGCCGAAACACGTAGGTTTGTCATTGTGCTAATTTGCCTGTCCATGCTCCTCGAGAAGAGGGTTTGCTTCCTTTGTGCCATGAACCTCGCCTGACTTTGTTCGAGTGCGAGTGCCAAGAAAACACAGGTTTCGGATGTGCATTGCCATGCGGCAGCCTGGTTCCGTATGCAGGAACGATTTATTGAAATGCATCGCACATGCACACGCACGCACACACACACACCTTTCATCTGATTCTGCGGACAGTGGTGCCAAGAGAGTGAGCAAGTTGAGCTCTCACGAGGTTTTCAGTCGGTGATTTACAACAGCCTCATTTCGGAGATGTACAAAATCTACACGGGCAAGGCGCGGCTTTGTCATGGCCTCTTCAGCAGAGTTCGCCTGCATTTTTCGACGATAGTTGTCACACTTACAGTATCCCTAAGTAGAACCCTTATGGTATTCCTTGCAGTGCCAGGCCAGTATCACTCACGAAGCACGGAGCCTGAACAAAAAGTTCAGTTTCTTGTGAGAGTTCTTCATGTGGATTCCGCTAGTTGTGGTAACATAGGGGCCTAAGCAATAGCCTATACTATTCTTACTGGTATTAGCAGGCCAAAGACTTACTCGGTCGCATAATTAGAGAATCAATATATCCCAAAGCCCTCTTCTGATTATCACAACAGCCCTCGGTTCTTCTTAGTCGCAGCAAAGTCCTGCTACGCAGCCGAAGGCCGCCAAACCCGTGACGATGGGCGAGTTGGCGCGAGGAATTCGGCCAGGTTCCTTGGATTTGGCCCAGAGGTGGGTATCTTTTCGGGGTTTTTTGAGGGTTTCATTCGGGTTATGCGAGGGTTTGATAGACATCCGGAGCCAGCAAGAGACCGCGGGCTATTCATGAACTTGGAAGCAAGTGTCATGCCCATACTCTCAATGTGAACTTGGAAGGGTGCTTGAACTCCGTGGTTTCAATTGCAACCCCAGCCGCGGATTGAAAGTTCTTCCCAGAAAAGCTTTGGTCAACATGGCTGAAGATGAGAGTAGAATCCTGGCAGGAACTCATGTCAGTACTGGTGTTAGTGGTCGTCTTGGTAGTTGGATTTTTGGATTCGTAGAGCCTCGGGCTTAAACCAGTAGCCCCGTGCCTGCCTGACTTCTCTGCTATGCCTCTTCTCTCGATGTCAGTTGAGCAGACAGTCGCGTTTTCACATGTATGACTGTCAGTTGCGCGTTGTGGTTGGCTTAGGTCTACAGCCTGAAACTCCAGTTAAGTTCAAGCCTGTTGTTTGTTGGCCGCTATGCACCTGAAGTTGACGATGACGTATTGTGGACCGAACCTGTCTCAGGCATTGTCTGGTGCTTCGGCCGCGAGTCTGTTGCTATGGGCGCCGGATTGCCTCTTGACAGATCCCCTTACTCTCGTTTTCACCATGTGGTTCTGCAAAACTCTACAATCTGAACCCGCAAATAAGTACATGTGCATGTGTACAACATGCATTGGCGTGTTAACATGCGATGAAGCATGAACCGGAAGCACTAGTAAAAGATCAGCACGGCAATCAGCGAGTGCCAACAACATAACACAACATAACATAGCCCCTGACACGGATCCTGGAAGGCCCAAGGACCCAATTGAGTTCACGCATTGGGGCTACAACGCCTGTGGAAGTAGCACGAACAAAGAACGAACTGCGCTACAACGCATGTGGAAGTAGCAGAAACAAAGGTATAGTAGTGTGCTCGGGTGCCGCCAGCTGCTCTCGCAGCAGCAAAGAAGCAACTAACATAGCCCAGTATAGTACGGCATCTACCGCACCATAGTACAACAGACTGTACTACGACACAATACAACACCACAGCCTATCATGTTACATAGCACAACATGGTGCAACAGTGTTTGGTTTGCTGAAGTATGACACAGCAAGAGATAACATGAGATGTTATGACATGATCTGATGTGGCACTGCATCCCACGATGCAGATCATTTTTTGGCATCCTACTCTGCTGCTTATCCAGTCTGTACTTGGCCAGGCTAGACGCTGTATTGGATCCAATGTTATACGATGTGCGACGGTAGTATGCTACATTCTACCATCGTATACTATGCTATACTTTACCATGCAATATATAGGTTTTTCCTATGCTATATCTTGTTTTGCAAGCCGGCGTCGTGTTACCTTATGCTACATCTTCATATTATTCTCTGTGAAACCTGTGTCATATCATGTTGTGCTATGTTGCATTGCGGCAGGTTAGGTTATGTTACGTTACGGTTTCAATCTTCTCTGTTCAATGTATTTTCTTCTGGTTTATGATCTAGTGTCTGTTTTATATGTTTAACAGTAATATCATAGTATACATGACGGTGTATCACAGAGTATTTTGGCATGTTGTAAGACACTGTGGTTTTTTGTCGCGGCATTTTGCAGTACGCTGTTTTGCCCTGTATCATATTGTATGGACGATACTGCATCTCCACTTTCTCTGTATGGCGTTGTCGTCGAGTCTGCTGTCCCATGCCACGCTCCGTTAAATTCACCGAGCGAAACTGCATGACATCCTGTTCTATGAGTTCTGAAGGTTCTAGACTACCTTACGTTGGGTTCTGTCAAGCTCGGTTAGGTTTGGTTAATTAGACTGGGTAGGTTAGGTTGGATATACCACTTGCCACTATGTGTTAAATATATGCACAATTGTACACACACGTATGTGCGTGTGTGTGTACGTGCGTCTGAGTAGAAACGCATACTGTAGTATTATGTCATATGGTCATCTATATTATCCACTCTGCGCAAGTAGATGAACACATACAAATATGAGCATACAGAGATCTTCATGTATGTATGTATGCATGTATGTATGTACGTATGACAGTATGTATGGCATTATGTATGCGTGTATGTGTATGTGTGCATGTGTGTACGTATGTGCGTATGTATGTAAACTCACTTTCCTGGAATCTTGAACTGATCCAGGTATCTGGGCCCCGTCGTGAAAGAGAAGCTCGCCGCATCCCTGCGGGACGAAAAGGGCGAACACCGCCGCCCGCTCATGTGAGCGGTTCATGCCTAAACGTGAGTTTGATGATGGTCGCGATGATCGCGTATTTGAGGATTGGTTGCTGCTGGCAAGCTGAAGCACAACTATGCCCCAAGAAAAGGTCCTGACGAACACTAAGACCGGGTTCAGAGAAGTGAGTATCATCAAGCCACAAGTTGTAAGGTCTGGGTGGCAAAGAAAGGTCAGCGTCTTTGTTCGGCGAAGTAAGTATCCAAGTGAAAGCACACGAAAGCCCCATCCGGCTCCAGCCAAGGCATAGCTGGCGTGAACCTGCCCGAGGTGGGTTCATGAGGGCTTTGACACGCCATGAGCTTTATGTTAAAGTTCCGGTAGGTGCTAAAAAGAGAGTCGCTTCGTAAGCTTTCAGTCTTCCGGGTTGCGTCCTCCATCCCAGTCCCTTTCCGCTCTCACGGCATCTCCCGGGCATTGGAAGACATCTTGATGCCCCAGCTGCCAGCCCTTCCCTTCCATTCCGTTCAAGATTACACTTCCTTCCATCGCACCTTGCGCGATGATCCCTTCGAAACCCTCACTGGTTTTGCCTGTTGGAGGTAGCCCTCACCCTAGCCATGTGATCACCCTCAAATGCCCTTTAAATCGAAAAATCGAGCGGCATTCTTAACATCCGCAGAGATCTGAGCATTCCTTTGCAGGGAGTTCTGCGCTTCGGCTCCGGCTTCCTCTCGGGGGCCTGCACGGCCTTTGGCACGCAGCCGCCTGACTCGGTGATAAGAAGCCGGAGTTCAAAAACCAACTGTCGCACCTCTCCTTCTCCATGATGCGCAGATCAGTATTGAAGAAGGAGTTGTCAGAATGGTGTCGTCGAGCACCCGCCTCCAGGTGGATGCACAACGTCTCGCTCTTTGCAGGACCCTGCTGTTTAAAGACAGCCCTGTAGTATCCAACAGGGCAGGCAGTTGCGATGGGACATCTCTGTGGCCGCTGTGCGGAACTGTAGTGGGCCTGCTTTACCTGAGCTTCGGCAGCCTGCAGCGGATAGCCCGTAGTTGGAAGCGTTCCAGGACGGCTTGCAGCCACCAGCGAGCCCAAGGGGGCGCCGTACTATACCACAGAGGCATGGCGCACCGCCTACAAGGCCTGCTGCCTGCGATTGCCTTTCTGAGATAAAGCCAAACGAAACGATGAATCAATGGATGATGTGGATGATGGATGGGTGAACCGGCCGGTTTAAAAAACAAAGATGAACAACAATAGCACTGTGCATGAATGGCTCAATGAATTAATGTGTGTGTATGCACGTATGTATATACGTATGTACGTCTGTCTGTCTGTGTGTCTGTCTGTCGGTCTGTATGTTTGTATGTACGTAGGCATTTAATCTATGTATATGTATATACGAACGTATTTATGTGTGTATGCGTACGTAGGTCGGTAGGTATGTCTGTAGGTGAAAACGAACGTGCATGTGTGCAGTACATATGCACCCACATGCATGCAGACATGCAAATGCGAATACATACCGTGCAGGTGCTGCACGCAAGGGTACAACTTTCTCAGAAGGCTTCTTGTATTTCTTCGTGAGTAAACTGCAAGGCTCATTCACGTTTACTAGCGACAATGCTGGAGGAGTTGGGCATGTCGGTGTTCTACATGAACTACCCGCATCGCATGTGCCTAATTGCCGGCGCAGCTTCTTGGAAAGATCGTGGCGATGTGTCTAGTTCCATCAGTGTAAGTTGCATGCGATGTGATTCGCAGCATTCCAGAGATACTGGATGGCAGCCAAAGGCCCAACCTTTGCAGGGCCAAACTTTGTCCTTTGAGTCTCGAGGTTGCTCTTCTGAATTATGTGGACATTTTCCATCGTCGTGAGCTTCGGATGTTCTGAGCCGGGGCGCAGAGGATAAGACCGGCCTGCCCCTAGGACCTCGTCCATCTGGGCCCAGATGTCAAGCGCCCGGAAAAACAGATGAAACCGGAGGAATCTAAATCCACACACCTCAGCCTGAAGGACTGAGTCTTAGGAGGCTTGGGCTTGGCCTGAGCATCGTCCTCAATGGTCTGATAGGCCACAATCCCCACAAGTTTTCCACCGTTGTCCAAAGCACAAAGAGCTGGACAAGTAATCTCGACTCGCTTGGATGCACAAAGGTCAAGCCAACATGCTTGGCAGAAGTCCGGCGTAAAGCTAGCAAAGACGTCATTGCATGTGTGTTAGACGACCTAAGCGCCTCGACGAGACTGTGCATCCGATCTTTGCTTGATGTCCCTTTGGTAGCATCGTGGCCGGAGTTCGTAACCTGGCACTGGACATCCATAGGCTCAGCGGAAGCCCGAATGATAGAAGCAGAAGCAGCCCGCAGCCATCAGCAGTGCAGTTCCGGTCTCTAGCTACCTAGCCAACAGAGGGGCAGAGAGTTCTGGCAGAGAGTGTCTCAGCCATAGTCGCTCTTCATCCTCTCATTGACAGTGTTGCGATTGCGCATGGCCTGGTTGATACCAATAGCAGAAACGATTCCTGGCAGCAGATGCCCACGGCATACAGGGCAGTTTTGTGTTTAAGCAGCAGTCAATGCCAGTCCTTCTTCGGAGTGAACTCCGCAGACAGACTCGCATTATGTCGCAAAAGGCTTTTGATCTTGCCCGTTCACCCTGGTTTGGAATTTAGGTCTAGTCCAGGGTTTTTGTTGAAGTGTTGGCCTATCTGACGTCTCTTGCTGCTATCGGCAACGGATGCGAGCTTCATCGAGAGCTAGCCGCTAGCCTCGCAAGTTCCCAGTCTCACGCCTGATCACCCGCACACCCGCTAGTTCCATATGCGGATGTCAAGAGACGGATGAAGTAGACAGTAGACATAGAAGACGATCGCCAGCACTAAGCGGAGCTCATCACAAGCTAGCCAAGCGGAGGCGACAGGAATCAACCACAGTCTGGTGTTACGTGCTGGCAACATCCGGCAGCCCATGCTAATCACAAGAGCAGTCGCAGCTCGAAGGTTCTGTGAACACGCTTGTCCTGCCCTCAGAGTCGAAAGCCATCAGTGCACCGAGTTCTGGAGGCTCCTGGAACTGCGCGGAGACCTTCGCCGCCAGCGAGGGGATGCGAAGGGTAGCTTCGAGGCGGATCACACCCGGAGCAATGTCTTCTTGCAGTGTTCCTGTTTGCTGTGTGCAGATCAGATGCGTGCCTGCCAATTAGCAGACACCCATAGGCCCATAGGTGTATGCAGTGGCATTACTTAGGTACTTCGGTTGATAGGTACATGATTACATCCATACGTGCACATACGCACGCATACATGCACAGATGCATGCAAATCCTCCCTCCCCTTCATGCACGCATGCATACTTGTCATGTCTTGTGTAAGCGCAGGGGCTTGGGCTTGGGTTCATAGGAAAGAAAAAGGCAGACCAGGTTCTCAAGGAGACCCAACAATGCACGGTACGAGTGTTCGGTGTAAACCAGAAGCCGTTCAACTAAACTCCTCCGGAGGCTCCTCCATGTTGTCCATGTCGATTTCGCCATACACCTGCACCACAGTCACCAAAGCCCTATCACTGGGTCTGAGAGGGCCTGCTGGCTCTTAGCTAATGTCGCGCTAGCTGCTGACCTGGCCTGGTCTCGCCGCGAATGAGTGGCAGAAAACACTGTAAACTGAAGTTTCCAAGTTTGTGCGGCGAAGCCCCGAAGAGGTCAATAGGAGCCCGCACGACACCTGTGACTGTGAGTCGATAAACCCTAGCCGCAAAAAGGCCCTGCGCTCAAGAGAGCGTGATCCGGAGAGGGAAACAATAGAAAAGCCCAAAGCCCCAAGGAAGGTTTAAGTGCCAGACCATGAGGGTTCCTCTCAGGGTTCCCTAAAGGTTCCCTTTAAGGCTTCTATGGTAGGATCCCATTAAAGCATTAAAGGGTACTACAAGGGTTCTGCCACCCTAGTTCCACCACAAACATCCTTTAAGGGTTCCTTCAAGGATATTCTAGGCTTCTGTAATTCGGCCCCACTAGAGGGCACCATAGGGTTGTTCTACAATAGGATCCCTTTGAGGGTTCCTTTAAAGGATACTCTAGGCTTCTATAGCAGGGTCTGAAACGGTTCTGCAAGGGTTGTACTATAGAACAGGGTTTGGAGTCCTTTTATACTTACGCTTTAGGAGGAATCCCTCAAAATAGTATAGGTTTCTTATAAGTCCCTTTAAGAGTTCCTTTAAAGGATGCTATAAAGGGTACCATGGGCTTCTATCATAGGATCCCATTGTAGTGAATCCCAGAAAGTTGGAACATGGATTTAGGATGATTAGTGCTGGGATTCCCTCTACTCTACCTTCAGAGCATGAGGATAATGAGGTTCCAACTTTCTGGCTTCTATTGTAAAGGGGAGCCCTGAAAAAAGTGTGGCAGGCCTGGAGCGAAGCCGCCTCGATGCGCTCGGTGCTTGGCAAGGCCCGGACCTTCCAAGAGATCGTAAAAGGTGCATGCTCTTCCGGTTTAGGGTGTAGGGTAACGAGGCCTGCTGCAAAAAGGGTTTAGGGGTTTAGGGTTTAGGGTTATCAGGGGTTGAGGGGATATCAGGGGTTTCGGGATTTGGGGATTCCGGGTTGCATCAAGGAGTCCCAGCTGCGAGAATAAAGGGTTTAGGTTTAGGGTCAGGGTTTCGGGATTTAGGTTGTAAGCTTGGCCCTGCAAAGTACGGCCAATCGTCACCGTGTGGCTCAAGCGTGTACATTCCAGTTGAGCACAGAATCGGGTTTCATCCGTAATACGAGATGCCCAGGAATGGGAACATTCCGCGCGCATGCCTTTGAGTACCGCTCTTTTGGCACAGCCTTTGCCTGAACCCTTTACAAGCAGCACCAGTTCGAAGTGGCCATGTGGTGTCTCATACACAGCTAAAACAAGCCGGGTATGTGTGTTTCAGGTCACTGGAGCGCCTGCGGCAGATCTCTACGTGAGGTGCTTCTTTTGTGGATCTGGAGGGTCGGCTTGGGATTGCCCCGTAGATCTTACGTTCACTGCTCATTACAGGCCTCATCTTTCCTTCCATGATTAGAAAAGGGGTTTTGGAACATTTTTTAAAGTAACAATTGTGTAGTTGCACCCTCAGGGATTGCAGGTTATCCAGATTCGTCTCTTTGCGGGCCATCAGCATAGAAATGTGGCAGAGCAATGCTGGAAAAAGCTTGCGATCGCTGCCTTAGTATACATCATGTAATGTAGCCTGTATAGTACAGTATTTCATTTTATATGTATCTTTTAGCATATGTTAGGCGCTCCTTGTACATGTATACATATATATATATTTATCTAAATCTATATATGTATACATATACAGTATTGTATATTGAGCACAGTGTATATAACACCATATAGTTGCTAGACTATTTCATGTGTCAGATATATTGGGTTATTACTTGCTATCTGTTGCATGCTGGTTATCTTGTCAGTCTATTTGTTGTTTTTGTGCATTGTTTAGTTCATGTTGTTTCGTATTAGTTTCACATCGATATATCGCATATACGTATTGCATATGATGCCATGGATTCGATGTTTGACTTCGTAGATTGTGCATTTATTGTTCTATATTGTGCATAAGTGTTGTTTACTATATGTTGCAGAAAAGGTAGTTTATAGTATGTGCATAGGAAATACTATAAGTTATGCATTACGTAGTCGTGCACCCCGTCCTTTTAGCAAGCATCACATCGCGCCAGTGTTGCTCGTCGCAGGCTCGCGGCCGTTTGCGAGGAATTGGGAGAGATTGCGCTGTCGGAGGATTATCAGGACTCCGCCAAGCGCTGCTGGCACAGCTTTCGGGTCGGCCTGCGCCTGTTGGGTCAATCTTGGTGGTAAGAACGGCTAGCTGTCTACCCTCTTCACCCACGTGTTGAGTTCCGTTGGCTGCTAGAGACTTTCCGCTGAAGCTTAGCATCGGCGCGCCCAGGACCAAGCTCTTCAGGCCAGATCCAAGCACACGCCGAAGAGCCAGCCGCATGGCAGCAAAGCGGCGGCTCGTGATCCCATGCAGCCGTCTAGGCCCGTGGCTTTGAAGGCCGAACCCGATGGCGTGATAGCGAGGTGAGGACCACCGCCAAGAGACAAGCAAAGCAAAGCCCCGAGATTAATGTTGCGATTGGGTTGTCTTCTCGCTCAACTCAAAGCATGTGTTGGGAGTTGCTTTCCTTGCACCGTGCACGGTGCATGTTTTTTGCAGTTTGGAACTTGGAGGCACTGGCTGCAAGTGTCTTGTTTCCAACTTCATCCAAAATTACGCCTTCGACAGCTCTTGCCAGAATGATTGAAATGCCAAGGGGATGCTGACTGGACAGTTGCAATCCACTTCTGAACGGTGGGTTTCTTGAAAGCCGTTTGATTGTGGCTTGCTGCCCAGGAAGGTCAACAACCTGAACAACACCCAATCGTCCTGGACCTCGGAGGCTTGGCCAACTTCACCTTAGCGCACGCGGCGTGTCTTGGTGAGGCCGCTCCCGTTCCGGTTATTCCCGTTCTCGGCTTGTGGGGCTTTGCTTCTGCTTGCTCGGATCGGGAGTGGGAGTCGTTAATCCCATGACAGGAATGTTCGGCGCAGACAGGAGAGACAAGAGCCGGCGAAGCGGTTTGTCAAGCGCCAAAGGCGTTTGCCGGACTCTGCCACCATCCAGCCCACACGCGACCACTGCGCAATTGATTGATCTAAGGAATCTAAGGAGCTCGTGCTTTAGTTAACGGCAGTTGAGTTTCAATGCGTGGTGATGCCGGAAAATCTCGCAGAGGGGCGCGTGGGCGTGGCTTCCGGGCATCTTGCTTAGAGAACTGCAGGCTCAACGAGGTTCTGCTGTTCTGCTTGACTAGCTCTCAGCACAGGCAGAAGCCTCCCTGAGGATCGCAAAAATTCCGGTTTCATGGTCCGCGCCTGGTGGTCTTCAGAGCCAGCCGCGTAGCTGTTCAGATTTCTACAGGGCTGTGTCTTGGCTACGCGATGCGCCCTGAGCCTAAGGCCCTCCGGGAAGCTTGGCGCAGCACTGCTTCGCTGGATGCCCTGCTGCGACAGCAGCTGAAAAACGGAGAAGGCCAGTGCACCCAAATCGTGAAGCTTGCTTCGGCCTTGAGATGCGTAGAAGGACACTTGCCCACTTCGGGGAGTTGTTGCCAGCCCATGCATCACCACTGACACGCATTTCAAGAGTCATCAGCTATTGAAATGAATCCAGATGGAGCGGCTAAATGCCGCTGAATCTAAATCATACTCTTTAGTCTTGCTCGCACGGAAGCTTCCTCGTTAGGGGTCGTGGCTTGACCTACCGGGAGCCAGCGTGAGCATCGGAAATGGCCGTTCCGCGTTAAATCCCTCCGTCGGCCCTTGTCATCAGCAACGCTGGGCCTCAGACGAAAGCTGCTACGGGACGATTGTGGGTGTATTTAGTTGCGAGTTGTAGCAGGCTTCAAGCCCCGATTAGATTGCTCAGTTCCTAAACGTAGTCACAGTCTTCAGCACTCGCCTGCGTGTCGTCTGCTTTGCACCCTGCATCTTCCGATGGTTGAGCCTGTTCCTCTCGAGACTCCTGCCCTTGATTGCACGTTGCAGGTTGGGAATTTGTGAGTTTGATCATCAAGGCACGGACTTCTGCCGACTTCGCATTAAGGAGCACTATGTCACTAGCTAGTGCAGACCTCAGCAGTAGTCATGTTAGCTGCCGATTCCCAGCTGATGATGGCATCGAGCCTGGGTTCAAAAAGAGCCTCAGCTGTATCACCAAGTGGAGTCTTGCCATAGAAGGAACATGGCACCGCCGTCCAAGGCATGTCTACTGCGATAGCTGAGCATCGTCTTCCCCAGATCGTGCCTGCCACTCCTGTGACCGGGTCCACTCCGGCAGAGTCAGAGTAGGATCTGCTTGTCTCGTCGAGGCATGCGCTGCTTTTGAACGGGCGCAGCCTTCTTGGTGCCAGCAGGACCGCCTGCAGTTGCGGAGAGGTGTCTGAGGCCACCGAAACCATCGTTTGCTGGTGGCAACAAATCAAAGGACATGAGCGAAACTTTGGAAAGGAGCTGCTGAGTAAGCGTGAAAGGTTTCCGCCGGCTGGGCTTGATTCAGCTTGCGCTGTTGTGCCGCGACTGCGTGGGTAATGCTGCTGAACAGCGTTGCCGATCCAATTGGAGAAGGTGTCAAGGGTTGCCGACATTCCCAGAGTGACCAGATGATTTTGCCTGAGCCTCCACCGGGACAGGGATTGACGGCGGCCTTGATTTCCAGTGCATGGAGAACATCTGCTGTGATCCACATGAAAACAAGCAGCTGTCTAGGGCAGCTTTTTCTTGCCCAAATCGATCAGGGCTTGGCGCAAGAGGTTTGGGTCCCAATGCCGTCTTCTCTTCTGCCCTGTGCCCCTGCACGACCCGGAGTACGGAGTTGACGGCATCTGTTGGGCGAAGTGACATTAGCCGTGGCCTTGATGAAAGCCTCGACGTGCTGGGACATGGATCCAAGATGGCGGCCCAGGGGATCATAGAAGCTTGGTTGAGTGATCGTGTGACATTCTCTGTAGAGGTAGAGAGACAGGGGAAGAGAGAGACAGAGAGAGAGAGAGAGAGAGGTGGGTGGGCGGGCCTTAGCCTTAGCGCTTGGGGGCTCTTACTCGCGCATTGGTGTGGTCACAAGCTTGTTGTTTTCTGCTTCGCAGTATGTTGCTGTCAAGCTATGAAGACCGGGAAAGCAAGCCGGAAGACTTTAGGAAACCTTTCATCGTACTGCCTTTAATTATTGCAAATTTAGCCGCTTGCTTGGTACAGGCTGTTGCTGATTCATTTCTTCATGCGGGAGCAGCCCTTTTTCTTATTATCATAGTCCGAAATTTGCGTGGGTTAACTCATGCGCGCGCAGGAGCTGGGTGCTAACTTCCCTCTGTTGGAAGCACTCCAGATGGGCCGGCAGAGGCCACTGCGTGGCCAGCTGCATGTCTTTTGCTAAGATCCGAGGGATGCATCCGCCAAGACCGTTGGGGAGCTTCACGATGTGTTAAAACCTTGGACGATTACGTGTTCATGGCATGCCTGCCTCAGTCGCAGCTGAATGCACACCATTGCTCCTCGAAGTTCCTGAGATCCGCCGAATCTCCGTGCCTGCAGGTTACCGGAGGAGTTTGAGGTCTTGGGCTCAGGGCAGTGCAGTGAGCGCCGAAGAGCACGCTGACTGGAGCCCCGACGCTTTTTTGAGAACTTTGACGGGGGCGCAAAAATTCCAACATGGGTGCTCCGGAGGTGTCCGGGGATCCAGCTGCTCTGCTGCACGCTGCGGGCGCGGATGCTGGAGCCGGGGGCCTCAGATGTCAGGAAGTGTCATGAGGTCAAGGAAGACTTGCAGGCCAGGCTACGCCGCCTTTTGCCTCTTAGCAGTTCAGCAAGTGCAGCCCGGGCCATCGCGCGGTTGGCCATTATTCTGGGTGGTCGTGCTGAAACTTAGCACTTATCAGAACTGCAGGCGTGTACTCTGTTAAGGCCTTGCACGTAGCAGAAAGTTTGCACTACAGCTCCAAGGGGCGCCCAAAGCCCAAGCCGAAACCTCGTGCAGTGAAGTCCGTAGCCACGTGCTCGATTTCACTGAGGGGACCTTGGCGGCGGTGTCTGAGGAAAAGGAAGAAGCTTGTTGGGGTTCTTCAGGAGCAATCTGCAGTGTAGACAAAGTGTTCCTGCACCGACCCCCCTGCAAACAGTTCTGCCTGTGCCTGTGCGAGTGATGCGATCGAGAGATATGTTGAGCCTTCAGTGATCTGTTTCGAGTCGCAGCGTCGTTAGCCTCGAGGGTCGTTCATTCAATCGCTGCTTACTCTTTGAAGTTTACTCTCTGCCTCGCGCTACATGACCTAACTCCGCTTTGACCCCCAGCTACTTGGCACCGTCACTGTGCAAGCCGGCCGCAGCCATTTACTGCCAAAGTGTGCAGCATGCAAAGCAAGACAAGCACATCCACACAAAGCTGAGATACATTTCGCGTCCCACGCATCTACTAACTCCGTGCACATGGAGGCTTCTTCATGCTTCCTCACCCTTACGCAGCCCTATACAGTTGCCAGAGCCTGTGCACCTAGGACCTCTTGGTTCGCGCGGACAGGAGTTGGATGCAGAAGCCTTGACTTGGAGGTATCTCTGTTCCTAGCCATGCACTGCTGCCTCTGGCCATGAGCAGTGAGGAAAATGAGACCGCTGGATCCTCAGTATTCAGAGCCATGGAAATTCAGGTGAACTCCAGGGCTGGTGTGTGCTGTGTAGATCCGCGTAGGGTTCTGTGTGAGCGAGCCATTTACCGTTTAAGGCTGATGCTCGGACGGCTAAGCCTCGCAAAATTTCGGACACCGGCCGAAACTGATTCGAGCCCCCATGCGCAGACCACGGGTTCGCGTGACTCTGTGCATCAAGGAAACGCAGACAACCACAAGCGCCACGCAGACCACAACTGGCACCGTGGCGGTGGGCTCAGCAGTCTTCGGACATTGGAGGGTCCGAGTTGGAAGCAGCAGAAGGTCAGTCACCGAGTTTCTTTTCTTTGCAGTTTGCGGCCCCAAGGTGGAGAATCCAGCGCAGTGCGCGCTCTATGCCCGCAATTGCCGCTTGGGCTCACACTGGTTCAGTGCCATGCAGAGAATCTTGATCTCATGATCTCGCCAGTTGTACGGGAGTGCGCATGGCAAAGTTGCAGTGTCCGACTGATTGCATGTGTCTCGCCGCTCGACCAGGCAACGGTTGCTTCGGAAAGGGTTGCCGATATTGCCAGGTCAGCCCGGAGGCGGCTGCCTTGCTTGAAAGGGTGCTCCTAAGAGACATTGCGTCGGGCCTCAAGGGTCTTGTAACTTGTGCCATGCATGAGGTGCTGCTTGTCAGATCATGATGTTTTGCATGGTGGCTGTTTGGGATGATGCTGAAGTCTACCAGGTCGACATGACGCACGGCCTTCAGAAACAACGATGTTCAGTTCTGGATGTCGATGTCACATGTCCCAGCAGCCAGCAGCTAGCATGCCTTAGCTTATGCCTTGTGCCGAATCCGAACCGGCTTGGATGCCAGTCCTGGAACTTCGGCAGCAACAACGACCCGCCAGTCGCCGCTTGCCTGAACAAAAAGGAGCGAGTGGAAGCACCAGGATATGCTGAGGTTCTTCGATCCGTCAGCACAAGCGAAAAAAGCATTCACGCACCTAGGCAGAGGCATGTCTCAGACATCAGATGAGTCAGCTGATTCGAGCGGCTTCGCACGCTGTGTCGCAGATCGAAAACATGTTGAAATTGCAGTTTCCAAGCATGCCGAAGGTGCTGGACTACGTCTGCGTGGCGCAGCACTACCAGTGCATTGACTTGCTTCAGCAAGGGCCTCGGAAGATATCAGCATTCCCGCTCCGCCTTACCAGTGTGTCAACCGAGGCTTCGAACAGATGTGAAGAGCGTCGTCCCGGTTGCTGTGACTAGCTGCGGATCACTGGAGCCACCGAGGGTGCGGGCATGTAGCAAGTGTGCGACGTTGAGTTTTGATCGTTCAAGCAGGTCTGTATAGCTAGCTTTTTGATTTGCTTTTTGGATGGCAAGACATGAAAGAACGGAGCAGGTGCAGGTGCAGAAGGCTAACACGGGTTCACACCATTCTGCGGATTCGGAAGGCCATGACTACACCGCGGCCCACTACAACAACGGTGCAGGGCTCAGTCCAGTCTCTGTCGAGCAGAGGGGAGGGGCCTCCCTGGCGTGCGACGTAGAGTGGGAGTTAATGAGTTAGGAGCTTTGGAAGCATAAGAAAAGCAAGACGAAGATGAGAACCAGTGAGGAGTTCGAACCGCCCCTGAGGCTTACGTGGCACCAGACCTTGGTATCCTGAGTTCGAGTGGCGGCGATGCCCCATGCGCTTGAATAATTCGATCGGCTGGGTGAATCCTTCGCACTCGCTAGGGTCCCAAATTCAAGAGTTTCTGGGCGGCTTTAGGAAAAATCTGAAGGCTTTTGGTGGCTTTAGGATGCAGGATCCGAGCCAGGGCTTTTTGCATTCGATTTCGACTGAACCCACCGGTCTGCTCTAGGACTGCATGGTGCGTTTCGGGTTTCAGGGCTGTGTCTCCGGTTGGGTCGCGACGAGCTGCTTGGATGATATTCCGTTGCATGGGAGGGGGTTATCCGTAAACACAAACTTTGAAGGCATCTCGTATGCTTCGCCCCACATGTGAAAGTGTGAGAGACTGCCAAGAATTCGTAGAAGTAGACCTCCTTATGGTGGCGAGTTTCCACCGTTGCGCAGCCTGCCATCCGTTTATCGAGGCTCCTTGGTGGCCGGATGAGTGGAGTGGCTCTGCCTTGAATTGGTATCTTCCTTTGGCCGGGACCGAGCTTTGTGAGAGTTGAGGTGTGGCGGTCTGGCTGGCCATCATTCTTGTCTCTGGCTTTATCCTGGGCTTCTGCTGTTACGTGGGCCGCCGCTGCCGGCGCAGTCTGCAGACTCCCGTGCAAATTTGGAGACTAGAGACGTAGAGTTCGGCTAGTGGATGTGAAGATTCAACGTCTCGAGAGTACTGGTAGTCTATGCATGTCGCGATCATGGCCCAGGAGAGTTCATGTAGCGCCACAAAGTGCGCTGGACTCGCGGATGTTCAAGTCCAAGGCATCTTCCAAGGGCTCCCTTTCCCTGGCCTGGCTTGGCTCTCACCAGTACAGCACTTTATAGGTCTATAGTAGCCCTTATAGACCCCGTCAAAGGAACCTTATTCAAATTATTAAGGCAGGCAGTTTTCGGCTCCGCGATGCCTGCTTTCGGAATCGGAGTTGTCGCTGTCGCTTGCGGCAGGTCGGCTCGGTCCAATGGGATTTTGCCAAGGCCTGGGACTGGGAGTGATACTCTCATATGATAAAGAATACTGAATACTAACTATCATACGGTATCATATAACACCAACAAGGAAATATCACATACTAGCATGTAACATAGCTTAGTTAATCATCGACAATACAGTGTAATACAGTAGAATCTAGCATTATTATTATGTTACATTGTGGTAGAACAATGGAGTATATGGAGGGGGCACTTCGCAATCGTACACCCGAGAGCTCTGAGTTCACAGAAACCTTGCGAGTCCTTTGGAGTCCGAAGCAGGGGTTGCAGGGAGTTTGCAAAGCTCGCGGTTGCGTTGTGGACCAAGTTGCGGATATCCAGGCTGGCGTTGTGAACGTTAGCGACCTGGAGGCGTGATCGTGATGGTGATGGGTTTGGCTCCGTCGGAATTTGTTGAAGCCCAGTGGATGCTTCCGATCAGGAGGTCCTTCCACGGCTGGGATTTTGTTTGGGGTTTCTCTCTTTGGGGCGGTCGTGGCGTGGGCTTCGGGGCTTCTAAACCAGTGTGGGGTCGAAGCCGATCCAAGCTGAAGGCCCACCGATCGCCCAGCTCTTTCACTTGGTTACTCTGCCATACCTCCAAGTCAGCCTGTGTTCCCACCTTCGCAAGCAGAGCATCCGTGCCTTTCAAGCAGTGGGAGGCGGCAAAGCGCGCATTAGCTGCTGCGCTTCGAAGCGAGGCGTGCAAGCCCAGACCCGAAGCAATCTTTGTCCCTGTTGCCTGATCCTGGTCTGCGCTGAAGGCTTCCTCAGAAGCACTCCCGAGCCGTGGGCGATGTTTGCACCTCTTCTGGATAGCGTTCTGGACGATGATGAGGGTGATGCTGTTACTTCTGACTACTTCTGTCGAACATGAGCTTTTCATTTAGCCTAGCCTATCCTCAGTTTCTGATGCCCGTGCTGTAGTTATTGTCAGCTAAAGTTCCACTTGCATGGGGCTTGGTGCTCTTTGTTGTCTCATGCATCAATCACTACGACTGTTTCAGTGCCTGTTGGAGGGGTGAGGAGGTTTAGGACTGAGCTGCGGCAGCGGAGAAGCATCCATGCGCAAGGTTTTGGCTTGGTAACACCATGCACTGCCTTCTGAGCCACGCCGCCCGACTTTGTCCAAAGCTGGTTGTGTGAACAGCTAAGGACATTTTGGGCCTCCAACTGCTTGCGTGTGGCCGTGCTATCGGAGTGACTTGCCTGAGTTTTTGGCGTGTTTCTTGCACCATGGGCACAAGGTTGCCATTTTGATGTCGTTTGGGCTCATCTATGGCTTCTTGTCAGACATGAGTATCCAAAAATTCGGAGAGCGAAGACGAAGAGGTTCTCCACGAACTTGGTCTATGTCATGCGGACATTCTTCACTGTAGATTCCCAGTTGTGTTGTCCAGCGTTTTCTTGTCGCAGTCACATCGTGGTTAAATATCCATCCTGAGCATCGCTGACGCATGGGACTTCTTGCTGACGTGGGGTAGGCTACAAGCTTCGCATGAAGGAGCTCAGAAAAAGGCGAACGGTTACAGGTCAACTGCATCTGACCGTGAAGACTTTGCACAGCTTGAAACGCATTGTTAGCATATTGTGTTGGTATACTCGGTGGACTCCTGCCGTTTGCCAAATCCATGCGGCATTCTTCTGACAGTCAGCGCCTTCGATCATCAGGTTGGACGTTCTTCTTGCGACATATCCGATTTTGACGATCAGCTTTGATGCAGCACCTGCACTGCATTTCGAGTTATTGGGTGTCTCAGTTGCGTAGGAAAGCTCCGAAACTCAGGATTGGCGTCGATCTGACAATCCGACAATCGAAGCCTTGGCCAAACTGCTGCTTCGCCACCGCGGCCGCTGCAAATTTCGAACAGGCAGACCCGGGCCCCATCCTTCGAAGCGTCCCCCCCCGTCGGGGATCGAAGACAGGTGGCTCGCAACCCCTGGCGCTGCCCGCGGCTACCTTGGCCCCTGGGCTCCTCTAGGTCTCAAGAGCCAGAAAGAGTTGGCGCCGGATTCTGAGACTCCGCTCCTCGAGGCGACGATCTCTTCTTGTGGGGAGGCGCTGGCGGCCTCACACTCCGAGGTGGCCGTACAGAGAGCGGCATGACCCAGTTGTAAGAGTTGCGAGGGTGGCACTTGAGTTCAGGGAACGGAGTGCTGCCAGCAGTGTGCTTGCAGCTGCTGCTGCTGTATGGCACGTGCTTCTCGCCCTGCACAGGTAGACTCCGTATCCTTCGAAAGAGGACAGCGGTCCGGGCGAAACGGAACCCTGAGAACAGACACAGCGAAACCCTGTGTTGTCCGGCCATTGTACCAGCGCAATCCAGGACCGAAAGATGATGCGCCATGCAGCGCTTCTCTGGCGGGACTCAGGCATAAGCTTCGCATGGCTTTGTTGGTTTCTTCTCGCCGTCGGCGCGATCTTTTCGCCGATCGTTCGCGTTCGGTTTGAGTCTCAAGTCGTTGCATGTGGTGTGAATAGCCCAGTCAGATGCAACTTTTACCTGGAGCCATCGATGCTCGTGACTTCCAGCGTGTTACTTTCTGACCTCTCTGCCAGGCTCAGCTCGCAAGAGGCTGTCGGGCCACTTCGGGCTAAGGGACCGCTTAGGTTCAGGGATGTGTCTTAGAGTCACACGGGTCACAAGGGCATCCCAAGCTGGTGCGATGTGTGCAGCGTGCTTTGCTGTTGTGCTCGGCTTAGGAGGGACTTTGGGCATCGGATCATGTCTGCGTTTGTCCACTGAGTCCCTGTGGATGGAAACCACGGAAGCTTCAGCACCTACATCTCTGATCTTGCATTCCTGCGCTAGTGTATTGGTGATTAGAGCCTGGGATTAAAGCAGCAGCCTCCCCGTCCCTGGTGAGATGCCGCCAGGTGATTTTTCATCGGCACCCCTTGGGAGATCAAGGTTGTAGTTTGGACACTTGGCCGAAAGCTCCCATGGAGTGGGCAATCCAAGCCTGGATGAAGCGACGGTGCCTTTGCCCGAGGTCTGCGGCTTCGTGAGATCATGGGGTGCCAGGCTGCAGATATGCAGGCAGGGGCAGCTCAGTTTGTGTGTTTCTGCGTGCGCAAGCCTGCGGCGTTTCGCTTCTGCTGGGTTTCGTTCTCCAGTCATTACTGGGCCCTTTCGTTGTTTTGAAAACATGACTTGCCCTGCATCGACGGATCGGGCAAGTGCCCCCTTGCCCTGGACGTGACCTGTCAATCTCTGTGTGCAAGGCTTGTTGAGTGTGGCTTCGGTGATCTCGCCGCCGCCGGCGTGGCGCGCTTGTTGGCCGCTTGCTTTGCAGACCATGATGCTGCAGAGTAAGTGCTGTAACTCGCCAATGGGCTTCTGCCAATCTTGGGCTGTTGCAGTATCAAGCGAGGAGTGGAGAGCTTTTGGCTACTGCAGTTCCCGTGTCTACGAGTCTCTGAAGCCTTTCCTCGAGTTTCTGGCAGCACGCAGGCAGATGCTCGACAGCCTGCATCAGGTCTCAGGGAGCTCAATCTGCGCCCGAGCCAAACTTTAGTCTGAACAGAGCGGTGAGCTGTCATATCCAGAGAGCCTACGTTTCACGACTTTCGTCTTGCATCTCCATGATGGGACTCAGGAGCGCCAACAAGTTCGGAAACGGGGGCGCGGCGGCCACTCGGCGAGGTTAGCGGATTCGCGGCTTCAAGGCGAGATTCCCGGCGGCGGAACGATCTAAGGAGCTCGCCGATGCCCTGCCCCGGCTCGACTCCCTGGAGAAGCTGCCGGGGCCCGAGAGAAAAGCAGAGAGCAACACGGCGCGGCGCTCCCCCAGATGTGGGTCCAGGGAACTATCGAACGCAGGGTTTCCGGGATGTTCAGGATTTGAATGAAGTTCTCCAGGTAGGTGCAGCAGACTGTCGCAAGGGATGCAGCCTGGACACGTTGGAGCTGAGGTTGCTGGAAAGGAACAAAATCGGAGTCCTGGGGGCCAAGGTCGGGGCCTGAGTCGGTCTTGCGACCGGGAATACATGTTTGGAAGTCGAATGCGTGTGTACGTGTGCAGATCAGTACAGCTAGACGAGGCTTTGGCAGCGCGTCTTCCCCGCAGCAACGTGCGGGAGCTTGTCATGGGCACGCACCTGGGTGGGAATCCCCTGGGAGAGGAGGGCGTGCAGGCCGGTCTGACCGGTTTGTGCGGGCTAACCTAAGTAGGAGTTTGAGTGGGTTGATTATTCAACGTGCTCCTCGGTGTGGTGATGCTTTGCTTCTGCCGGCTTACGCGGCTGCCTGAGTGCTGGACTCCATATCCAAGTACAGCAGATCGAACAGTGAATAGTGAATAGTTACACTGGAAGCTAAACTGTATGTCATGGTCAGCACAGCTGGGCTGGACTCCCTCTGCGCCCATAGATGCTGCAGACTCAGTGAACAGGCTTTGGCAACTGCGCTGGATGACGCCATGCCACGGGCAGCAGCCAACCGGGCGACACGGCTCCAGGCTTCACGGGGTCACAGGGTGATGGACTCCAAGAGCATGCGCCTCACTTTTTGAAGTTGGCTGGAGGCCCTTGCACTGGAGGATTGTGGTGTCGGCCAAGCAGGTGCCAAGGCCCTGGCTCGGGGAGAGTTGAACAGGCTGTCCTCTTCGGAAAGCTCCTCCACCGTTCCTGATATGCGCGGTCGCAGGCACTTGCCGAGTACATCCCGAAGAGTGTCCTCCAGGTGGCCAGAAGTTCCCATGAAACCATAAAATCACCGCAAGCGCACCTATGAGCCTCGGCAAGCCTGGAAAACCTGGGGATAGGGATGCTGGGGCAGGCTTTGTCAGTGGCCCGCGGCCACTTAGCGGACGACGATGCCACGGCCGTGTTGCCGCTCGATCTGCAGGGTTAAAGCGTGGTGCAGATGTTATGCGCTTCGAGTGACAGGCGAAGCCGATGAACTGAGAGTTTGCTGACTTGAAAAGGGCCTGTGGACCTCCCCAAACCAGGGGCAATGAAAGAAGTCGCCACGTCTCAGCAGTTGAGGTTGGCCTTGCCTGGCAGCATTTCCTTTCTGGATCTCTCGGGTTCCTTGGTCGAAGCTCCCGATGTGCTGCAAACAGCGGATGCTTTTTTGCTTCGCTGCTGAGCAGGAAATGAACTTAGTGACCTGACGGCCTCCATCGCTGGAGAGGCACCGCGCTTCGCAGGATGCCGTGGGGGTTGGGATCAGCGCGGTCGGTTCTGTTTCATCGGGAAAGAAACTAGTTGAAGCTGGCTCTTGGCTTTCCACAACTCTGCTATCCTGCAGGCATCACAGGCTGCTCCCGGTTGATCGTCACTAGCTTCCAAGTGCGGGCTCACAAGACAGTCCTGCAAAACTCTTGATGCCTCTGTCGGCCGGCAGATGTCTGCCAGCAGGTGTCCTGTTGTGCTGGTGGTCTCTGGTTTTCGCAGTCTTGAACCAATTTGCAGAGGATGTCGATTCCCAAGCTTTGCTGGCGATCCATCCGCCGAGTGATGCCGGCCTTGACGACCACAACGCTCGGCTGCTGCGCTGCGCCAAGGCTCCGCCTGGCGATGAGCTCTGCTTCGACACCCCAGCGCCGCCGGAATTCTCGGTAAGGTTCCAGCTGCACGATGGACGCAGCTTTCGGGTGAAAAGCTACAGCCACTGGGCGCCGGTCTTTGTCCAACGATTCTGGCAGCTCTCCAAGCTTAGCTGGTGGCGGGATGTTGCCATCTACCGGAATGTCTATGTCAACGAGACCCTGCGGTTTGTGAGCCAGTTTGGTTTAGTGGGCACTCCCTCTGTGAACAATGCTTGGGTGAAATGGAAGACAAGCAATCAGACCTCACCCGCACTGAAGTCGAACACTCGGGGCCGCGTCAGCTTCTCCATGGATGCCGTCATCTGCAAAGAGGGAGAGCCGGAGGACCCTTGCAAGGCCCTCCGTCCAAACTGCACGGCCTCAGACTACTGTGCCCTGGGCTTTTTCACGGAGATCTACGTGAACTTTGCAGACAACCCGAGGTTAGATCCACACGGCTTCGCACCCATCGGGGAGGCCGGGAAGGGCTCCCATGGAGCGCCCGCCGAAGCTTAGGCAAACCAAGGAATTCGGACCTGCATTTCCGACCCTGAGGTTGAGGAGGGCATGGAGGTTCTGGATGACCTGGCGCAAACTCTGGGCAATCGCTACGGCGAGGCCCGAAGGGGCGAGGTTCGGGCTCGTGCCGGCATCGCTACGTCCAGATTCAGCGCATGCCTGAAGTGAAGGGTTTGCCGGGTCACAGGCCTCAACCAAACTGCCGTGCCTCCTGCAAGAGCCGAACGGAAGGTTCAAGACCTGTGTCCGCCTACGCCACCTAAGCCGCTTGTCGTTGTTTGGAGTGCTTGGGCTCATTCAGATGCGCGTACAACCTGTAGGTCGCATCTGGTAGCTAGTCCTGCAGTGGGGTTGTGTACATCAGATACATAGGAGGCAAGCCAGCTTTGGAGAAGATACTGCAGTATGATGGATGCAAGCAGTGCAGCACTTGACTTTGGGTCACAGACATCCGGCGCACACAAAGACGATGTGACCGGCCTATGTGTGATACATGGTCTATGCACTTATAAAGCTGCATGCAACGAAACCGACACAGAAATAGATAAAGCATGATAAAGCATTTTCGACAATAGTATCATGTCGAATTCCTCGCTTTCGTGTGCGACCAGATGCATTAGCCAAAGGCTACTTAATCTTCATGTGACACACACGACCTCAGTGAGTTTGTTGGTTTAAGCTTGCAAATATCATGGGACAAAGGGCGACAACCGATGGATAGTTGGGCCGGGAAGACACTCTAGTTGAACAGACCTGATCTTCAGAAGACCAAGATGGATAGAGAATTTGCACGGCTGGCTTCAATGCAAGGCCGCTGAAACATGACCATAGATTCGCACAGAGAAGCTTGACTCAGTCACTTCCTGGCGACAGACCCAACCACTCGTACTCATGCCCCCGACCTGCGTGCGTATGCACTTACTATGCCACTATGCATTCATTCCCATAGTCAACCGGCCAGTCAGCCAGCCAGCATCCCACACTCACTCGCCCGAGTACAGTGTTCTCTTGCTTGCTCTATTTGTCTGGTTGTTGATTTTCTTGCATTTGCGCTCCCATTTTTGCATGCTTACTTGGTCGGTGAATCACTTGGATTGAAATTCGTTTCGGATATTTGTTTGTCTGCTTACTCGCCTGCCGGTTTTGTCCGCATAGGTAGGCCGTCAGCTGGAAGCTGGGCCTTCCGGGCTCGCGACTCTAGCTAGTTCTGCCACTGCCCCGCCAGCCGAAGGCAAGTTCCCTTGCGTCGTCGGCTTGGGTACTGCACACATGCCGTGCAGCGCCGGGATCGTTCTCAGATTCGCAGACAGCAAGACAGTAATGTACTGTTGAGATACGACCTAGGACCCTCCCGCCTCCGTTCCCACCCTTCAGAGCATTACATCGATCTGTTGAGCCGACTCTGATGTATGGACATCGCAATCATACAGGAGGCCAGCCAGCACAGCAGGGGCAAAGTGTATCACAGCCAAGGACGTACTGCGTCTACCGCAATGGGAAATGTGCGGGTGTGAATGAGACGAAATTTCATCAAGAAGGCAATGTCTACATCAAGGACGACTTCCCGCAGATGTTCCGATTAAGGATCAAGGATGCCCAGGTGGAAAGTTTCACCACAGTTGCCGCGTAATTTCTGGTTGTGGCCCAAAGTGCGGACAGACCGAATAGAGTCCCGGCTGCGCAGAAACACCGAAAAGTGCATTCAGATGGTGAGAATGTGACATAGCCTGTCCAGGGCAGCTTGCAATTCCAAATTGCGGAGTGCCTCCAGGGCTTGAACTTATGCCGTGCCAGGCCTTGTACAAGAGGCCCAAGCTTTCGATCTCGCTGGCCGCCAACTACATAAGCCCGACCATCAAGCTGCTGCTTGCAGAGGTCTTGGGTTTTGGCTGTTTTCCGGTACCTTGGGGGATGTGTGCAGTCGGTTTGGCTGGCGGCTAACCTAACCCTCGGCTGCCACATCGCCCGAGAAATTCTTTGATATCGTGGCCAAGCAGAACAACCCAGCCAGAAAACTACACTTCCCAGGAGCATGGGACGCGCCTGCGGGTTTGAGGCAGCATGAATTCGCACGTTTTCGCACTTGCGTTCAGGCCCGTAGAGTTTGATACTTTCAGGGTTCGGCCAACACAGGAGACCCACTGAGGAAAAGCTTCGATTTTGCACTTGAGCCTTGTAACATTGTAGCTGCTAACTTCTTTCATAGTGCACGGGCTGGCTGCTGCCAAGCAGCAGGCGGCGTAGCATAGGATTTTTTGGTACAGGCACGTGCCTCGTCCGATTGCGAAGTACGAATATGGAAAGCTCCCTGCGTACGATCGGATCAGGTGCTGCGGTGTGCTGCGGCAGTTTCACCCCATTCCGCCTCAAAGCGCCCCTGGAAGTCATCAAATCGGCAGCGAAATGCGCCTGAGGGCCGTCAGTCGACGGGGTCTCGTGTCAGCTGCACCTCACCGTTCAACCTCGCTGCTTGCGTGGTCTACAACCTGACGTAAGGCGAGGTGCAGGAGTAGGTCGAGTAGACCCCGAGCCGCTGTTTTGACTTCGACGATGCCAGGCTCAGGCTCGAAAAAAGCTTCAGGGTACCGCTGGAGCCTCTGGAGAGTTGCATCGCCTGACATCGCATTGTAGTATAATTCGGGCAGGGTGAAAAGCGCAAGCCCATGAATCTTTCGAGAGTTGCAGCTTCTTTCGGCAATCTGGCTCGAGGGGCAACAAGGCCTCACAAGTTCTATCACGCTCCGTTTCCAATCGTACTTTCCTTCACGTAGTGTGGGCCCTGGCATTTCGGCTTGCTCGTTTTTCACAGAGAGCCCTCTCCGTCGCTGCTCGAGCCCCGTGCCCAGGCAATGCCTCGCGCGCTGTGCTTTTTGGTGGTGGACTCCTCGGAGAGTTCCAAAAGTTTGAAGCCCTCAACTACGCCATTTAGCCATTTTGGCTCATGCCACCTTGAAGCGACGTGCCCCAGGCCATCGGAGCTCTTATCGTCGGGTTCAGTTCTTGCCTAGATTGGTGTCACGATGGGTGGAAGCGCTGGAACTTTCATCATTCCGCGCCGGGCCCCCGTTCTGTGCCTCTGGCACGGAACGGAATGACGAAAGTTCCAGTGCTTCTTGGCTGTCGGGGTTGCTTCAATCCTGATTATCTCGATGGCAATGGGCAATCCAGGCACGAATTGAGCAGAGCGTTAACATTACTGCAATCGCACAGCGTAAGAATCGGTTGGCAGCGTTCCAAGCGCATAAAGAAGAAGTATTTAAGCCCTTTGAATCCGTGTTACGGCTGCTAAGGCCGAGACCATATGACAGAAAGCTCTCAGCATAACTTATGCCATTATAGTGAGTTCTGTAATTCTCACTTGTCGAGCACGAGTGACAAAAATTATCATGTTACATCATGGAATATTAATATACGGTCGTGATAAGTTCTAAGATGATATTACATATTGTATATATGCGGTTATACATATCATTGCCGAGGCGGCCCTTGGGCCCAGAGTGTTTGCCTACGACTCCTCCATGTTGATCTCCAGCAACGGGGCTTTTTCAGGCGGCGGGCGCTTTGGGCAAGCTTTGAGTCTTCTGGCTTTGGGATTTGCTTTCGGATAGGGTATTGATTATATGACTTACATGTTACATGTTCTATCTTGCACGTTATTCCAGTACTGCTGGCCGCTTGCCCGAACCCTACGTACCCAAGAACGATATTCCCAGCCTTGTGCTTCCTGTTTTTCGTACTGGTATAACTGTTAGTCGCGCCTTTGCTAGTACTGCTAGTATTGTTAGTACCGTTGCGATTCTTATCATTACAGGATGGTTACAAGCGGAGCCCTTCGGAATAGCTTGTTATCACCAGTCCCTTTGCAATCATTACTATTAGTATTGTTATTCTCATTATTGTTATTAACTGTTAACTTTTACTTCGTTTCACTTTGCCAGACTCCGAGCCACATGCCTCGCCTGGATTGTCCGAGTGTGAGCGCCGAAGCCCTGAACCCCAAAATCGGAGTATTCAGGCGGCGTGTATTTCACGTTGCACCATCGGGCCAGGCTCAGACTCTGCGAGCTTCCTGCAGAAACCCGTGGTCAACGAAAAGGAGGGTCTGTTTCGGGCATGAGGGTTTTGGTTTGGGGTTGGGGTTCAGGGTTTAGCTCTTTGGGTTTGGGGTACAAGAGGTTTCAGGGTGTTGAGGGCCCAGCTGCAAAAGGGTCCAGGGTCTTGTTTCTAGTTCTTCGCTCTCCAGGGCGAGCTGGTTTTTTCGAGTAGTTTGGGATGATTCAGTTCGTCGATGGCCATGAGAATCAGGATGCCTCGGAAGAGTTCGGCGAGAGTGCCGAACCTGTGCATGTAATTGGCCGGGTGCCCCAGGGCCTCAGATCTGACATCTCGCGTTTTTCTTTGCCCGACCCCGCACATGAAATCCTGTACTGGCTGGTTTTTGATGACCCTGCAGACGCATTGCTCAGGCTCGGCTTGCATCTGCAATGTGTTTCAGAAGGTGTCGTTAGTCCCTAGGAACCGTCGACCGTCTGGCTTCTTCTCTTTGGTTGAAGTTTGTCACTGCCCGACAACCGAGTCAAGGCCTGCGCCGTGAAAGCGCCGGGAAGCCCAGAACAGCACTGGCCGGCCAGCTCTGGATAGGAAATTCGGGCAGTTGAGGTTTAAAACTGATTGCGGCTGTGCCGCTCATGGTTGACAAGTTACGATTGATTTACCATACAAGGTTGGTTTACCAGACCTTTCCCACGCCGCACCTCAGGTTCCCATCTACCGAATGGGAAAGATAGCCTCGTTCAAGACATCCTACTCTGGAGCACGGAGCTTAGCTGAATGGCTGGCAAGGTCAATCGCATCTCCCTTTCCACAGCTAGACCAGAACTACAACGTTCGATTCAGGAACCCTGTTGTTCCTATGCGGGAGCCAAAAAGACCAGGAAACGACTGCAGTAGATAGTCATGTCACGCATGCTACAATCAGCTTTGAAGCCTGAGAGTTTTGTCGCTCGAGGTTGTCAGCATTGGCTACCCTCCACAGGCTCCAGCAGTTGATGTTCATGGTCAAGTGTGTCATATCTGGCACAAGAAGACATCCCATCTCCGCTAGGCTCGGTGATAGTATTGGAATGCAAAGGCTGCCTAGCGTCAAGCGGCATGCAATCCCCGAAATTCAAGAGAGCCTGAGGAGAACACACTTGTTTACCTGTTTCGCCCGGACCAGTGTGTGGTATCATTTCGTGCCTGAGGACTTCCGTGTGGTTTTCGACACTGGCTCTGCTCACATCATCTTACCGGCCGTGGAGTGTCACACGGAGGACTGCAAAGGGATTGGTAGCATTCTGTATCCTCCGGGCTCCGGGGTTCTGTGTCAAAAGACGCTTCCCATGCACCACGGCCTCTCTGAGCCGCGCGCAACTTCCGCAGGCCTGCTTGGCCAACAATCGGAGGCTCTATAATCAGCTCGGCCCTGAGAGTTAGTGACAAACAGTCAAGGACAAGGAAGCTTATGGCTTGCAGCTGCTTGCGCCTAAATTTCAAGATTTCGTGTTTTGGATGACCGGTGGCACCTCGGGTTTGTGCCGGTGAGCATTGGATTGTTTTGGAACTGTGTAAGAATGCTTAGAGGCTTCGCTGCAAAGAGGCATCGTAGCCTAAGTGCGACTTGCATCCGAACTGTAGGTTAGGAGATCCCCAGCGTGAGCGAGCCTGAAGAAGTATCCGGAGTTATGTTGCCTTAAGGGCCGTGGAATCTGCTCGGCGGGTTGGATGAAAGTTAGGCTGATGGGTGGAAGGTGTGTCCCGCTGCTTTCGCTTCCCATGCCGCGCAAAGGGTGTTTATATGAAGCCCGGCGAAGGATGAAAGTGAGGGCTCAGCTCAATCTGAGTTCACCTCCTCTTCCCTCTTCCTGACCTTGTCAGACAAAATAATTCTATATTTCTCTCTCTCTCTCTCTCTCTCTCTCTCTCTCTCTCTCTCTCTCTCTCTCTCTCTCTCTCGGCCACAGCTCCAAGCCGAACGCAAGGGCTGCATCGACGACGTCCTTGCCAATCAATGCAGACGGTAGCATCGTGCACGAAGGGGACGATGGAGAGCAGGCACGTCGCTACATGGGCGAGTGATGTTTGGATGTGTCAGGGGCTTGCTCGGACTGAGCTTGCAGTGCTTCATAGTTCCACAGTCGAGGAATGAAGGGAACTGCGCTGCCAGCACTGAACATGTCCAAGAGCGAGTAGATTCTGATGAGCATTTGCGTTGTCGGCTGGGTTTTGTCCTTGCGCCGCCAGGTTACCATTGGCTTCGGCACTGGTGAGATCACCGGCGAGTTTGCTAAGGACACAGCAACTTTGCCGGAAAAATAGCATCGGGTCAAGTACTGCAGTCAAGTGGTCCAGCGGACTATCTCAAGAGAGAACTCGAAACGTCGAGCTTGCCCACAGAACGCATTGGCCGACCTGGTGGATGTCACCGTGGTTCCAGAAAGAAGCTCTTCCCATTCCCATGCCGTGCCCTGGAACGAGGTCTGCATGGGCAAAGGCCAAACGGCCGACGAGCGACGCCTTCTCATGGCGGAGGCCCGAAGACAGAAGGCGCACTGCCTTTCTTGTTTCGCCTGCAGAGTTCATGTGCCTGAC